AATGACCAGGTGGTTGACCAGCTCAAGTGACAGGAGTGCAGATCAACGTGTAGTTCTGCTTCCGCCACAACGGCGTCACGCTCAAGAAACAAAGGAATGGCGAGCGTCTTACCGGAAATTGATGCCCCACTTCCCAACGCGCGACAGCAGCCGTCGTTGTCCGATTGGTTTCGACTGTGCAAGTGCGAGAGCGGACAGCCCTTTGCGCCGAGCGCAGGACGCTCAACAATGTGCCACGTAGTTCCATTGAAACCCGCCTCCCATGTCTCGGTCATGGCAGCCCCGTTAGCTCTACCGCGTCGCGGACCGTGCTGCGGGTTGGTATCCCGTGAGATGGAGACGACGTCACGTGGACAAGTGATCTGTGGTGGGCCTCGTAAGCCATTTAACGCCCACCACCAACGTTACTCTGCACTTTTGCACGGATTCAGATAAGGTTGTCAACGTAGATTCAGGCATCAACCGATACCTCCGAGTGTTGGCTTCAATGAGCGTTGGAGGGTTCGTCTCGCGTTGAACATGCGACCGCATCCGATCGTGACATATTTTTGGCTGCCGATGATGACAAGTGCGTCCTCTCGCCACGTCGTGGAATGCTATGTACTCCCATTGTTCCAGTATGACTGTACCCAAAACGATAAGAAAGGCGCAGAGAAAGGCGTCGAGTTCTGTTGGTACAAGCGAAATCGGGTCCGCCGAGCAGTTTACACAAGGCATCTCAGCTTTCGCTCGGGGTACTAATGACGGTGCCTCACGAAGTTTTACCAAAACCAAAGATAACTCGGCCTCAAACTCCAACAATCCACCAACCTAACGATAAATGGGCTCACCCTAGTCAATCATTATTCCTAACGCTATACGCTCTTCCACGGGCACTGAGGCGGAAGGGTACTGCTGGACTTCATATCAAACAACATTTCTTGCCAATGATCGTAGCTCTCACACAGCACACACAAAGAGACAGTATCGTATTACTCGTGCACCATCCAATGACTTTAAAACAACTCCTGCAACGACAGGCGGCGTCGCTTGGACGAAATCCATCTGCTCTGCAACCAAAAAGGACTGCGCGCTATGCAATTCGATTGGTGGAATGTATGCCCATCAACTTTACATGGTCCCTTCGTATGCCTCCAAACCTTTAAACACTCTGTCGACGTCCTCACGAGCTCGGCTCAGAAGAGATCGTCACCGCTGCAACTTGATCGCTTTCCGAGTCTAGGAAGTTCTAGCCGATGCGTTCAAGATTTGCGCGCTCCGTGGTGTGGCGCACTGCTTTATGGGAACAGTCTGCTGCGTCCCACGGTTACGATAACAGTGGCACATTTAGAGCAGCCTTAGTCTCTTCTCGTGATCCTAGATTCACTGGACCCTCATTTTTCAATTTACCTCGTGATGGATACCATCGTGTGCTGCTTCAACGGGTGTGCGATTTCGCCACTGCCTGGCCAAGCCAAGTGCTCAGTCCACAAAAGCCGGGGCATGTGCAGTATCGAAGCCTGTGCCAACCAAGTGTATGCCCGCAGGCTCTGCGTTCGCCATGGTGGCCGTCACCGCTGCCTTTACCCGGGTTGCACCACCTCGGCGCGCGTCGGCGGCTACTGCTCGCGCCACGGCGGCGTCAAAATCAAGAAACTGTGCACCGTCCAAGGCTGTGGCAACAAGGTCAACCGCAACGGCCGCTGCGTCCGTCACGGCGGTCGCCGCCAGTGCAAGGTGTCGGACTGCGTGACGCACGCCCGCAGCGGTGGCTACTGCAGCCGGCACGCAAAAGCTATCGACAGTGACGAGACAGAGCGGTGCGCTGATGACCTGTGGTCGCTCGACGACACCGAGTCAATCGACAAGCTGCTCTATGCGGACTATAGCGACATGCTTCCATCAATATCATACGAGAGCGCGTCCTGCCGAGGCGACGATCTCGATGCATCGATTCTGGCGTGCTTGTTTCAAGACAACCTCGTCACACCGTGAGGCCTAAGCATCGACACTAGGAGCTAACCTTTTATTATCTACACAACCTTACGACACTCTAGGAGAAATATTTTCCTCGTCTGTGCAGCCACGACCCGGCTGGAAGGACATACATTGTCGATGCATGGGGCGTTGTCGACTACAGGTAAACAGTCTCATTAGAGTGGCACATCGCGCTTCTCATGTCCTTCACCGCGGCCGCGTCGTCCGATTAAGGTGACAATTTGACGCAAAACGTCCGACCGTCTCGACGAACCGACGCAAAAGACTGCAGCGATGACGTTGATCATGCAGTGGGGACGTTGCCGAGCTACAATCCCACGCCCAACGACACCCAAACCCGGAACCGTGTAGAGTAATACCAAACCCGGACCCGTGTAGAGTCATAGCGTCGGCGCCTCTGTGCAGTACGTAATGCAACATGTACTGAAACCTTTGGTTGAATTCCGTCACATCTCGTTTTCCATATTCATAGGCATACCTCCACTGCGTCCCGCACAGCTGACGCTTTTCAGGCACATGACGTTCCGAGAGGCAGCGTGCAAACGCACGTAAATGCAACGGTCACTGGAGCGGTGGCGGGGTCGAAGGACTAATACCCTTACGCTTGATGGGCCAGAAACCGGTGCCCACATAATCCAAAACAAACCTAACCCGCCTTTGCAACCATGACTTCAAGTGTTGCCCTGTCTTGCAAGAAACTAGCTTTCGAAACACACCACACGGTGGTGGTGGCGACGTCCACGCGATCGACCACGGATGTGCCTTTCGAATGCTACGGAGAAATGAAATGACCTCTGATTTCCAACAAGTCGCACCATGCGACCAGGATGGATCCATCTCGACTACCTAGGCGTACTAGATATGTATGACCTCTTATTCGTACGACTACTCGATTGCAACACAATGTTGTGTCGTTCCCTTGTCTGGAATTCCACGCAAAAACCGTATACTACAGAGTCATTGTTTCAACTGGTGTAAACGTCATTGCAGCTTGGCGTGGCAGGATGGCTTGTCGATGATGATGGTCGAGAGTCCTGCGATCGCCGGTGCGACGGCGGGCGCCCACTTTAGCTGCGACGCGCGAACGTACTGCATGAAGAGCGGGCCGTAGTACGCGTTGAGACCCATGAAAAAGTGCCACCACGCGTGGCCGTACAAGTTGAACGAGCTGTCGCAGTGGTGGTAGTCGACGAGCCAGCACAGCGCGCCGAGAAACCCGGTCCGGATGTACGACTTGGCGAGGCCTTTGCCTTCGATGCACTCGATTTGACCGTAATAGCTGCGCACACGCCAGAGACACGAGAGCGTGAGACCCGAGAAGAGCACTTGGAAGGCGAGCACGAACGAGTAGCACGCGTGGGCAATCGTGAATCCGACGCCAAGACTGATGAGGAGCGCGCGCATGCCCAGATCCAATTGTTTCTGGTTTTGCCAGTCGGGGGCATACAAAATGTAAATCCTAGAAAATAATGTGGTTGGGAAAAATCCAAGGGCAAAGTGAGATTGTACCAGATGAGCATCGACCAGATCATGGGCGTCTCATCGAGCTGCTGGGACCTAGGTGATGGAATAAGTCATGAAAAAAGGTAAAACTTAAGGACGTACACGTGCGTGAGCGTGCCGTGGAAGAGCGCCGAGCCACAGCCGACGACCATCACGTTGAGATACATGAGCACGAAGCGCCACTCGAAATCCATCGCGACTGTCCGTTGGAGACCGTAGAAGCCAAGCACGATGAACGAGAGGTTTGAGATCGTATTCCAGAATTCGGCCACGTAGTGCGAGAAGACGTAGTTGGGCTCGCACCAGTCGATCGTCGACGTCACGTCGCCCCAATACCCCATAAGTTCTGAGGTCGTGGTAGCAAATCGCAGAGTGTGGCCGATGGCGCGCGATCTTCCGGAAAAATTCGAAACATGTCCGGATACCGACGCAATTGCGTGCGATTAGTCGTTGCCGTCAACCATAATGGACATGTCGCGGCGCCAGCGACGACAGCTCAAGCATGCAACACGATTACGTTAGATGATGGAATGCGCAAGAGACCATAGTCTTTTCAATATTGTCCATCGTTGTGCATCGGTCCGCGCGATCACGTGACTCGTTTACGCTAGGATGCGCGATTGGCCACTTTGCAATGGCTCGCTTGACGAATCTGACGAGCGATCGACGCGGAATCCCTCACAACTCGAATTGAGGACCCATACCAAGAGCAACAAAACCTCCTTCTACCACATCGTAGTATTAATACATTAACGATATTGTAGCTCGTACGACTTGGTGGATATGTGCTCGCAATGCGGACTCGGTGTCGTTGATTGTGGCAGGTGGAGCGCCCACTTGGGTCTCGCTTCTATTGTAACTCGATGCATCGAAGTGGTGGTAGTTGTCGGTAGCATTAGATATTAAAGATAAAGGGGCAAACTTCACTGCATCTTGAATCTACGCCAAGCTGCATCCGTTTTGCAAATGTCGCATTGATTGGTTTCGCCTCGGTTTCACATTTTGCAAGTTGGGTGTTTTTGGCAGCAACAAGCGACGCGCATTCATCGGCCTCTGCTCTCCACACTGGCAGCCGACCTTACTATGGCTATCGGGATAGACGGTGCGGCGCCCGCACTCCGGCTCGCTATGGTCAACTCAGCGCTCTTGTCGATCGTCGAAATAATCTTTGTGGCCGCACTACCAAGAACCACCGACAAGACAGGGTGACGCAAAAGGCTGCAACTGCTTCAGTTTAGTTTGCATCAGAGAGCATCACATGGCACCACATAGTCATATCGCGGTTCGTCATCGCCCAGGGCATTGTCCATGGGCACCTCCGTAGCAATCATTGCGTTTGGTGCAATCTGGGCGCTCAGATTGCACCAAGCAAAGCGAGACGGTACTGCTCTCGTCTTCGAAGCGACAGCACGAGCCCATCGACAAAGCCTTTTTGAGTTATGTTGCTCGCTGGGCTCTGACTTCTACTTGCGTTCCTCCCGCCACAGCAGTCCTTACAGACACACATGCGTCCATTGTTGTTACGACGTAGTACTCGTCACAGCCGTCGTCGTCGTCGTTGTCGCAGGCAAGACGTCTTTTGCACAAGGTATGGTCGAGGAGCTCGCACCTTCGTCCTTGGCAACCGTGCTCAACGGGCTCGTGGTGCTCATTGCTGTTGCGACGACAGGGACGGGGCTCACGACGATAGGGACCGCGGGCGCGTCGTCGACCGGGCGCGTCGTCTTGGACGCTTGGTTGGACGACCCGGACGAGCAAAAGATGGCCGCGCAGCAGCCCATGATGATCTCGTCACACATATTCGTTGGAAAAGCGAAAATGCGGCGGTGCTCACCTCGCCCAAGAGAGACACGCGAACGAACGATATCGCAACCAGTTTTCCCGCGCCTCGCACTCCAGACTTGCCCGTTGTTAGCGCAAAGATCTCGGCTACGTACTGAGTGCCGGACATGCACATCACACACACGACATCAAGGTGCCGTGATGAGGTAGAGGCCGTCTCGAATCGCTGGACAGACCTCTCAGCGTACAGCCTGCCGTCGTGGGCCTTTCCAACCTCAGCGTGGTAACATAATTTCATTACAAACAAGTCCGACGCCAAAGCCAAGGCGAAAGCTAATAGTTCACTGGTAATACGAACCGCGAATGGAAGGAGATGCAAGTCTTTCAAGCATCTCTTCCGAGGTGTCTCGATGCATTTTACGTGGCACGCTCAACGCCATGATTGCGTAAAGGCGATTGTAGCTTCGAGTCAGTGGGCTGCGGCAAACGCGCAAAAGCGAATTGATTCGCCTCACTTGGAGATGCGGTGGTGTTTCCTTCTGGCGCTGCCGTCCGTGCACGCCATGGGCATCTACTTCTTCTGGGTCTCCAACGTGCGCATAGGCTCCCGCATGCAGTGCGACAGCGCGCCCAAACGCTGTCCCGGCGACCTCCTCGCGTACCGGCGCGAAGCGTTGCATTGTGAGTTTGAGGCTTGCAAGGACGCGACACACCCACCAGGGTACGTGCCGACGCCTGCGCCAACGCCAGCCCCGACCGACGCCAAGTTTGTGGTCATTGCCGCCTACACCCCCGCGATTGCTCTCGCAACGCCGCGCCTTCGAGGCCACCCCATGTTGAATCGGACGCACGTGTGATCCCTTCGAGTTGAAATGCTACTGTCGTCTTTGAAAATGTCCTTGCCTTGTTCGAATGAGTAATGGCGGGAAACAAGAAGGGCGCTTTAGCCGTTGTGTCTGATCCTCAACTGCATTGACCTGTGAACGCATGCTGCTTGCAGTTCGCGTTCACATTGCCCGTCGTTCGCGTTCACATTGCCCGTCGTTCGCGCATCTCCACGCCCACGATGCCACGTGTGCGGATCTACCGGTATATCACAAAATCGTCTCGACTTCGTTCTTCGAAGACTTATATTGAGACATTATAGGTAGATTGTTTACAAATGAGACGAGCTTGAGGACTGGATGCACGCAAATGCACTGAGAGTTCAAGTACCATCGCACACGCCACGGTGTCATCCTTTGCCCCATGCATAGCATCGGCATGACCACTACCAAGGAACACGTTAGACCGACGACCGCTCACAATCGGCAGGAGGAACCACTTACAATGGCTACTCGGTGCACCTCGGCAGCTGAATTCCACGTGCGACGCTCTAATCTCTGCGCTCTGATTGGTCTGTGGGGCGCAAGGTGGCGTGCAAATAGCCTGTGCGTCGGTCCGCACGAAGTGAAATCTTGCCACAACTCGTTTTTGGTATCCGCAAGACAACGAGCGATGGCGACTGCCCCGGTGGAGCTGACCATTAGCGCGACGGGCTTGGCCCGCGGCTGCGACGCGTTCGCTGTCGTCTACTTCAATGGTACGAGCCTGCAACAAGCGACATGGGCTCATCCAGGCATGTAGACACGATCGTCGGGCGCACGGAAGTACGCAAGAACACGCCTGCGCCGGGTTTTGTCAAGAGCTTCAAGCTCGACGTTGCCCAGCATGGCAACGAGGGCTACGTTGTCAAGATCGAGCTGTACCACGAGAGCGACGAAGACCACCCGGAGCTGCAGCGCCAAAAGCTGCTCGGCCACATTGTCTTGCCGCTGCCGGAAATGGTGGCGCAGATCAACAACCCGATCACACTGCCGCTGACGAGCCACCATGACCATGGCAACGGCGCGGTGCTGCAGCTGCGCACCGAGTACATTGGCTTGAACGCGGACATCGCGATGGTCCAATTCGCCGGCGCCGAGCTCCCGGCGCCCGACAACTCGGGCTTGCCCAACCCGTGCGTGCTCCCACACGATGCATTCTCAGCATGCCATGGATATATAGGCTTCTTGTGATCAAGCGCATCGTGAGTGACGGGTCGTACGTGGCCGTCTTCCGCTCCGAGGTCCACAAGCAGACGAGCAACCCGTTGTGGGAGAAGCGCAACGTGCCGGTCCAGCGTCTCTGCAACGGCGACTACAAGCGCCCACTCCTCTTCCAAGTCGTGCACCACGAAAAGTCGACGCAGAAGCTCATCGGGCAGGTGACCGCGACCCTCTACGACCTCCTCAACGGAAGCGTTCGGTCGCTCCCGCTCCGCAACGGCGAGCGCTTTGCGGGCTCGCTCAACGTCGCGTTCCTTCAAGTCGCCAACGAACCCGACTATGTGGGCTACGGTACGCCGCCTCCTCTTTTCCAAATCTCCATATGCATGCAACTTCGTAGCCCAAGGCCCGTGCGAGATTACGCACCTGCAAGGGCTCCGCACCGCGGGCAAGCCTCTCGACCAGCAGAGCAGCTACGCTGCGTACGGTGCCCCGGCGACGGCGGCGCCGCCGATCGCCGAAATGAGCGCCATGAAGCTGCAGCCCGACGTGGTGCCCACGGCGACCGCGTACCCGGTAGCCGCGCCGGGTGGCCAGTACCCCGAGGCCTCGCTCGTCGCGACGCCAGGTAGACATGGCCCTTCCGTGTCGTCTTCTGCCAATCGAATGCTCATGCGGCTAAGTAGTCGACTGGATGCAAAAGAAGGTGACGCAAGACAGCGAGACGCCGACGCAAGTGACGTTCATCAACAGCTTTGTGGCGCCGGTGGACATTGCGTGGGTCGACTACGACGGCAACGAGACCATCTACAACCGCATCGAGCCCGGCCAAAAGTACACGCAGGACACGTACGCGCAGCACGTGTGGCTGCTCGCGACGCCGACGCACGGCCCGCTGGCCTACTACACGGCGGCGCCGGACGCGACGTTCGTCGACATTCTCGGGCCCAACGCGCTCGGCGTCGGGCCGCAGTGCACCGCGATCACGTCGGGCAGCGCCGGCGCGCCGATCAAGCTCGTCTTTGTCAACAACACGCCCCGCATCATTGGCATTGCCTGGGTCGACGAGGCGGGCCAAGAGATCGAGTACGCCCAGGTCCACCCGCGCCAGTCGTACGTGCAGGACACGTATGCCAACCACGTGTGGAAGGCACACTACGCCGACTCGAACATCCCGCTCGTGTACTTTCGCGGGTCGCCCATCAGCGAGCAGGTCGACATTCGCGGCCACAACGCCATGGTGCACACGCCGCTCGGCCACACGGGTGGGCCGTACCAGGGCCAGCCGCCGTACCAGGGCCAGCCGCCGTATGGATTCTAAGCTCGATGCGAGAGAAGAGCGCCAAAGCAACGACCTTGACATTGACATGGGTTACGCGATGAGGCAGCACATGGAAGACGTGGTGAAGAGAGGAGGGCTAGCTAGTAAGTGGCGGTGGGCGGGCGCAAGACGCCGACGGACGAGATGTGGTACGCGGCGTACATGGCGAGCGCGAGGCCTTCGCCGACAAGCGGGAGCGGCTCGGCGTGCGAAGGCACATCGCACCCGAGGAGAAGGTCGTCAATGACGTGGTTCAAGACGTCCCAGTCCTCGATCGATGGCGTCCGGCGGCGGTGTTGGCATGGCTTGTCGGTCGTCGAGGCGTGTTGCCGGGACGACAAGGCTTGTTGCCGGGCTGACGCAAGCGTCTGCTGCATGCAGCGGTGGTAGACGACGACGCTCATGCAGAGGATCACAGCCAAGACGACGTTGACATGCTCGAGCGCATCGAGGGCCTCGACCATGGCCGCGGAGTGTGGCGAAGTGAGACAGCAACCGCCGTTGTTGTCAGAGGACGGGCAATATATATTCATATCGAGGTCCCATAATGCGCTGGACGTCAGCGGCCGAATATTCAATATTGTTCAGGGCGCGCTCGTACCGCCTGATAACGACAGAGCAAGCAGCTGGCAGAGAATATTCGATCCTTTCTCGCACGATCCGAGCGCCACGTCATGCATGCCATTCTAGCGTCTTCGCGGCAGGATGACGGACGATACATTGCCCGATTCCATCATGCATTCTGAAGCTGCTTCCGGGACGAGTCTTATGTTGCCCCACTCCATCGCCTCGCGGCCAAGATGCGGCAACTCAGATGATGGTGCAACAGTTGCAGAATGCACTCTGTATCTTCTTCAAGTTCTCTAGCCGTTCTCAGCTACCGGCGGGGCAGGCAGCGAGGACACCGCGGCGCGGAATCTGGGACTCGTGGCGCGTAAGCGCACGCAGTGTGCGCTCGAGATGCTGCATGAAGAACTGGCGCTGCTCAATGTGCTTGTCGATAGAGATGCGCTCGAGCCGAGCGAGGAGGTGGGCGCGGTCGTCACACTCGTTGCTGTCGAGGCAGCGCAGCGCGGCGAGGTCTCGGAGCGAGACATAGCCATCGACCGTGCACGGGTGGTCGATCGTGTAGTACGTCCGGACGCGTGTGAGCCGCGGCTCGAGCATCTCGGCCACATTCCTACGCGACATCGTGCCATCGGTCGAGGTTGACATCGGGGTACCATTCTTTGTTATCAAAGCGCCACGTTTGCGGCGAGGTCAGGTGCGCGTCGTCGTGCAGGATGCTGCGGAGGCAGATCACGGTCCGATGCGGCTCGTGGAAGCGACCAGTGAGCACGTTGTGGGCCATCGCGCGCCCGACGTTCTCGCGCGTGTACTGCACGTCGTCACTCGGCAACGAGAGCAGCGTGCTCGGGTCGTCGGGCGACGCAAACAGCTCCTGGCACAGCGTGTCCTGTGCGATCCAGAGCCCGCGCGAGACGTCTTCGAGGGCGAACGGGACGACCTGCTGTGTCTGCACGTGGATCACAAGTCGCATCTCGTCGTGGATCGTCACGGACACGTCGATCGCATTGTGCCGACCGTTGGGAAAGACCAGCGTGGCAAAGACGCGGTCGGTTGTGCGGTAGACTTGCTGCAGGAGCCAGTTGTAGCTCAGAGCGCGGGCACCTTCGTCGCCTGCAAAGAGGTGCGAGTGCCGCCAGCCTTCGACGAACGGGCTGGGCGACCGCTATTTTCGGCTGTGAGGTCGAACGACGATCCAGTACATCGTAAGTAGGAGTATACCAGGCGGGGCGTCGTGCTGGCGACCCAGCGTTGAAGGTAGTCGCAGAGGCGCTGGTAGCGCCGCCGTTGCCGCTGGAGCGCCTTGTTGGTCGCCAACTGCTCGGTCGTGTCATCCTTGAGAGCGTTGGCGATCTCGCGCCACGCCAAGAGCGTCGGTGGCGACGCGGCGACGCGCGTCTTTTGGAGGTGCTGGAGCTGATTCTGGAGAGCGTACTGCTGCCAGCGGAGGCTCGCGAGCTCCTTGACCTTCTTGGACTTGACATGCGCGAGGCTCGGCGGCTGGAACGCGTCCATGTTGCAAATGGACACTGCCGAACGTCGGTGGTAATCGCAGTGATGACGCTACACGTAGAGCCGAAAGCACGAGGAAGCGAGGGAGCGTTGGAGCCCGTGCAGTGCAAGGAGGCACAAGGTGGTAATGGGCGATCCGAGACGCTGAGGCGATCGATGGAGCCTTGCCGCTACCGACATATGGTCCGTCCTCGAATTACTGTGATTCGAGTCATCAAAGTACCGCATTTCCAGCGCTTCAGCAAACGACCCACACACGACATGGCCATCGTGAAGCCGCGCAGACAATCAATGATGTTCATGGCTTGTGCTTGGATGCAATACAATATGGTCTGCGTTGGTGCTCTTCGTTCTTGATAGTTGTTGTCTTTGTTCCTGCAGAGCCGACGCACGACCACTGCAAGTGTTTCAAAGCAGGTGCGAACAAAGCGATGCGCAATGACGTGCTGCTGCAGCGAGAGCTTGCTGGTAGAATCGAAGAGCTATGGGTGCCGGTATTTAGCATAAGCACTTTTGCTTCATGGCTGGCCATAGCATGCTTCTGTGCTCTGCCTAGCACGGCGCATGGATCTATTATAGCTGTATTGGCCGTCAATGCTGGTTGATGCGGCGTCTTGCCCGCCGTTGGTGTCGCCACAACGTTTGTCGGGAATACCCGGTGAGGAAGACCTGGAGTTATGACCGAACAAGAAACAACCGGTATTTACAAGGCTCATACAAAAGCATGCAATGAGGCTCCTTCGCGTCGACGTGGCGTGTGCGGGGAGCAAGGTTGCGGAACAGCAAAGCTCTCAACACGAAGGCTGGTTCCCGTTGGATACTTCTCACACTATTTCCGCTCGAAGCACACTGCTCGCTGCGAAGTTCGAAGCCGCGCGTTACCACCCGTCCGCGCTAAGTTCGCAAGCAAAGTTCCGTGCTTTGCTAAGTTGCGCATGTACTGTAGCGACACGCTGCCACGTGCACCAAAGCGCTCGCTGGCTGGCGCCGTTGGAAGCAGAGGGACGAGGCCATGGACGAGTCTGTTGAAGGATATAATCACGTTAAGTGAGGCCACGTGCTTTGGACCTCAAGCCACGCGAGTGCTGCGCGCGTTACAAGCGGAGTCTCTGCCGCCGCACATCGGATTGTATTAGGGCAGACCACGCAGGGATGGTGATTACTGGGCACTGCAGTAGGCGAGGTATTTTCTATCGGAAAGACCACTACAATGGCTTGTTGAATTTGCGCGTTAGTTGTTTAGCGCTGCGGCTTGGCGCATGGACCCTCCCTTCCATTCATCAACTTTCGGTAAAACGAGAAAGCCGGGGAGCGTGCCAGCAAGGTTTTGGGCCCCCCTTGCGCCTGTCTTTCGAGTGGACCCCTCGCTTTTATTCCAGATGCTATTCTTTACTGGCATTTGCAAGCAAAACGAGAAAAAATGAAAGGGGCCCTATGCAAAATGGATGGAGGACCCC